TTCTAGGGGATATTCTTTCAAACATTTCATGATGCGATGGTTAGGGTTAATGTCAAGATCTGGTCAGTTTGGAGACAAGCCTGTGTGCACTAGGTTAGCCTCCTGATTGCCTGTAGTAGGCAATTAACTGAGGTAGACAAACCTGCCCATTGTGGATGGTGCCATAGCCCACGTTGGGATCCTGGACCGTGTAAGCCACAGCACAATCTTCATCCTTCTTCCTGAGTGTGAACGGGTGCGATCAGACGCATCATGCTCTGTTGCCTTGACTTCCCAGCGTGATGGATGGTGCCCCTGAACTGTGTGCCGGATGAAGCCTTTCTCCTGTAGGTTGCTTTTGGCAAGGTAACAGCAGCAACAGGAAAAGTAGACTGTGAATGCGAATCAGCTGTTTTTTTCTTAAAGGGAAGACAACAGCAGTAACAAACATCTTTTGCTGGTTTGAAGCAGGGTCTTCCTATGTAGCCCTGGCTGACCTGGCACTGCCTATGTAGCCCCAGCTAGCCCTAAGTTTTGTAGTGGTTTTCTTGCCTCAGCCATGAATGGTTGTGTCTGGCAGAATTTTTCTTTTCCCGGGCTGGCCTCAAACTCTGGCCCCCCCCTGAAGCATTTTGATTTCTTGTACTGCTGCACTTGGCTAACAACACCATAATTTTACCCACACTGACTTTCACCACCCAGATGAGAACTTCTGTTAGCTTCCTGTAGCTATCCATAGATATTAAGATATAAATGAGGGGACAGATTTTTTTGTTTTTGTTTTTTGTTTTTTGAGACAGGGTTTCTCTGTAGCTTTGGAGCCTGTCCTGGAACTTGCTCTTGTAGACCAGGCTGGCCTTGAACTCACAGAGAGTTGCACCTGCCTCTGTCTCCCTGAGTGCTGGGATTAAAGGTGCGTGCCACCACCACTCGGCTGAGTGAACATCTTTTAAGAAAAAAAGTAGGTTTGATAATTGGTTAAACAAAAACCTATGCCCACGTGGTAGAAAGAACTGACTCCCAAATGTTGTCTTTTGACTTCCACACTTGCTTGCACAAGTGCGCATGTGTGTGTGCACACACAGACTAGTGTACACACACACAGACAAGTACGCATGTGCACACACAGACACGCACACACACACAAATGAACATGCACAGACACACAGACAAGCACACATGCAAACACATACAGATGAGTGTGTACACACAGATAAATGCACACACAGACAAGTGTACGCTTCCTGGGTCCCCGATGATGATACCAGCCTCCAGCTGGGGTCTAAGAGGCCGACTCTTTGGACCCTCTGACCTTGGAGACTTGCGAATGAGTAAAGCCTCCTAACTCCTGTCCACTGAACCGGTTTCCTCCACCCACACTAGACCACTGTTTCTGTGGCTGTCGATATCTAGGTAGGAATTTAAAGAAAGCATTGTGGCTCAGAGTGGGGCTTCTACCGGGGCCAAGACCTAGTCTTAAAAACAAAACCAACCAAACAAACCCCGGCCTGGCTCGTTACGCCTGTGGCTGCACCATTCCAGGGCACCAAAGTCTTTGTTTTGATGCTCTCAGCTGTGACTGTATACTCAGCCACCTGGCACCCTTTGAAAGCATGGTGTCCACTTTCAGGGGTACAAATTTAACTGGTCAGGGCAACGACCTGGACCAGTGGTTCTCAACCTACACATCGGATATTTACGATGTATAACAGTAAAAAGATTGCAGTTATAAAGTAGCAGTGGATAATCTAACGGTGGTGGGCGCGGTCACAACACAGGAGCTGTATTAATGGGTCGCAGTGTTGGGAAGGTTGAGAACAAAAGACCCAGACTTGGGGACATCTAAGAGGCCCCAGGTTAGGAGTCACTGTTCTGACCTTTAAAGACAAATTCCTGCTGCAATTCTCCAGAGATGCGCCAGCGAGTTACGAGGGAAGCAGCAGAGCTGCCAGCCACAGACAGATCTGCCATCTGTCTGAGATCCTGCTGGGGCCCAGCAAGTGGCCAAACTCAATTCAAAGTATTTCCAGTCTCTCGCTGCAACCTTTCAAAATGCTGAAGTTTAACCAGACTCTGTCCCAGAGGACTCCCTTTTCCCCATTTGTGCGTTCATTTATGGACAGTCTCCTAGTTTTGGTCCAATCTCTTCACGGTCCCCTGGGCCTTGCTCACAGTGTTCTGGACAAACAGGGCTTTCTGCTCCTTCCACGGCCGCTTGAGAGCTTGACCCCTGATGACTCTGCACAGACCAGCTCTGTTTTCACAGAATATTCTCAACCAGCTCCATCTCACCCTTCTGAGCTTGACTTTCATGGCCTTATCTGCCGCTCCATTTAAGTTATGTTTCAGGCAGCGGTAGTGCATGCCCGCACTTGGGATGTTGAGGCCAGAGGATGAAGGGGTCGAGATTTTCCCCAGCTGCTTAGTGAGATCCTGTCTCAAAACACAAAATCAAAACCAAAGCCACTCCTCTGCCTACATTGTCCTCCAGGCCATGGTAATTTTACTTCCTGGTGACATCACACTGTGTAATAACTAATGCTTACATTGTGTACTTGTCTGACTGTTATACACCAGCCCAGCTTCTTTCTAATACAGCTTTGTTGAATAGAAGTGTTGATCAGGGTGTTTATTTTAGAGTGTTTAAACTTCGAGGCCTGATAAAAGTTGTAATGAACAAATGCGCCACTAGGGGGCAACAAGACCTCATGAGAAAGCATAGGCTGTGGTTTAAAAAATCCAATTAAATTACAATTCTGTTGTGTAATATCCTGTACGAGGGACATTTGTGAGGCTTAGATCAATCAGGACTCCACCTTTTAGGGAGTATATGCATTTGAGAAAAATCCTAATTGACAAGGCTTTGCTGTTTATCTGGTGTGTATTTGTGGTGGGGTGTGTATATGTGTTTCTGTGGTGCGTGTGTATGATGTGTGTATATATTTGTGTGCATATGCTTGTATGATTGTGTGTGTATGTTTGTGTGTGTGTTTGAATGGTATGGTGTGTGTGTGTGTGTGTGTGCATGCGCGTGTGTGCCTTGGCTCACATGTGCACATCAGAGGACAATTTCCAGGAGTCAGTTCTCTCTGTGGGATGCAGGGCTCAAGCTTGGATCCTAAGGTTTACTCTACAAGAAATATTTTCTTTTATTTATTTATTTATTTATTTATTTATTTATTTATTTATTTATTTATTATGCATACAATATTCTGTCTGTGTGTATGTCTGCAGGCCAGAAGAGGGCACCAGACCTCATTACAGATGGTTGTGAGCCACCATGTGGTTGCCGGGAATTGAACTCAGGACCTTTGGAAGAGCAAGCAATGCTCTTAACCACTGAGCCATCTCTCCAGCTCCCTACAAGAGATATTTTCTGAGCCATCTTGCTAGCCCACGGGCTCTGTGAATTCTGAAAGAGTGTCTAGATAATCACAGAGGGTTTTATGTAAAGTGATAGTCGCCCGCCATATCCCGCCTGCTGACCAGCAGAGGAAAGCTTAGGGTGACCATCATTTCACTCAACACTGCTTCATTTTTATTGAAGTCACTTATTAACCCTGTCTGTTTTCTTTTCTCTAGGGTAAACTAGCCTAATTTCTCTAGCTTTCCTTTACTCTGCTCCCATGACTCACAGAGAACCTTAAATCATCTTTTAGACACGATGCGATTTGCCGGGGAAGCCCCGGGAGCTTTGGGGCTGTGCATCTCCAGCTCCCCTGCTCGGGGGAGAGTGCTCATTTCCTCTCCATTAAAAGCAAGCCTGGGACTGCCTACATGGAAGTAGTTTATTCAGGAAGTGACTAAAGCAACAGGAGTGTAGAGACGGAAGGGTGAACCTCGGAGACAGATCTGAAAGCTGTGTACACCCATCCGTGTGTAATGAGTTTACTACCCTTGCGGACACCGGAGAGTGTTTCTCTCCAGGGACACTCTGGGGGACCCAGTGCACCTCCACATGGTTTGCATCAAGCTCACAAGAGAAACCTTATTGGCCAGCTCCCCTTCCTTATCAGCTTAGGGCTGCCCCAGAGTATTCATTTTCTGTCCTCCCGGTATCCGGTTTTCACAGAAGGCCAAAAGGAAGCCCAAGGGCTGGTTTCACCTGTTCCCAAACATTATTACAGAAAAAGTTGACCAAAAGTGGGCCAGGAAAACATGAGACAGGGCTCTCCAGGTCAGGATGACTATGTCCTGTTGCAACTTTTGCAAAGTTATTTTGGTGTGCATGTGTGCATGTGTGTGTGTGTGTCAGTGTGTGTGTGTGTGTGTGTGTATTTGAGTGTGTGTCTGTGTGTGTGAGAGTGTGTGTGTGAGTGTTTATGTATGTGTGTGTGTGAGAGGGAGTTCCTGATGTGCACTCTGGGACAAGCCTTAGCAGCTGGCACATACATTCTAAAGTCAGTCTTGCAAAGACACAGATCTGTGACCCCTCAGTTGTCCAGCAGATTCTCAAGCCCATGTTTCCCACATTGCCATTAGGGAGCAAGCCGCAGGACTGTCCCCTGGTCAGGAAATGATGGACGGACCTACTCTGCTGGCCTCAGGCTAGCTGTGCGTCACTCATTCCCACCCAGTTTGTCCCCAGCTTCCATCCACCTCCTCTGCTTCTCTCCCTACTCAGGGCCTTTTTCTCTGTGTCTCAGTAAGAAAGCGGATATCAGAGAACAGTGTGATTGACCTGCGTTCCTGGACCAGCGGCTTTGGCGACGGGAACTCAGAATCTCAGGTGCCCTGAGAGCTGGAAGAGACTCAGCATCTAAACAAAACCCCCTAACATTCCCATGGACAGGAACATTCCGGGCTGCTCACAGATCCCAGGTGTCCAAACATTGCTATCGTACCACCCAGTTCTCACCAGAGCTCTGGGCACTTGCCAGAGGCACACATTTCTGAGCACCAACCCCCAGGGAGTCCAGCTGCACCGGGCCTGCGGGTGGCCTGCAGTCCAGGGTTACATTAGTTCCCGGGTGATTTTGTGGGCTGGTGTCGCAATCACCAGGCTACACTCAGTAGAAAACTTCTGGGCTTCTGAGGTCTTTGTCATTGACTACTTTAAATGACACTCAAAACTTCTGAGTTGTTAGAAATCAAAGCAAGTTTTTTGTTTGTTTGTTTGTTTGTTTTTTAATACGGGGGCTGAGGTTCTGTAACACTGTGTGCCTTTCTTCACACAGCCCCCGACTCCACAGTGAGGCCTGGTTTCTAGCTGCTGACTGTTGAAGATTCTGCTCTTTCCCCAGCATCTTGCAGGCTTTGCTGGGTTGTGTAGCTCCCGTGGCTCCGACTGGTGGACCGGCTCAGTAAGTTCTGGTGAACTGGGATGGCCTAAGTGCTGGATGCTTGGGGCTTAGGGCTCAGCGGCAGGGTCTAGACTCTTTCTATATTGTTACTGAGCGACACGGCAGTGTCCGCAGTGTCTGGTCATCGCATGCTAGAGTACTGTTAGCCATTTGCACCGCGCCTGCAGAAACCAGCGTGAATATTGCCGGCTCTGGGAATCTCGACTGAGCGTCTGTGGAGGTTTGGGTTCTCATGACGGGGCAAACAAACCTGGTGGGTGAGGCGCAACTGGCCAGGGGTATAGATCACCTAAGGGAGAGGGAGACGGGCCTCCAGGGCACTCTGCCAGGCTCTCCAAACCAGAATAAAGATTGCCTAAGAAGGCAGTCCTGGGATGGAGCCCTCAGGCCTCATCTCCCAAGCTTCCCCACTGGAGTGGGCGCTGTCATTGAAAGGGGGAAGGTAGCAGCGGCTTCTCATCCTCGGGAAGAGCTTGGTTCCTGACAGGATAGTCACACATTGACCTATTCTTTCTCCTGCACGAGGCGCCAGCTCTGCAGCAGTCCCAGAGGCAGGTTCTAGGCAAGGGGCCAACCAGTCTTGGGGTCTGGAGTTTGACTTTTCCAGGACCAGCTCCACTCACAGGCAGCTGCTTGGCTCTGCTCCTCCTCTTCCCCTCCACTCCACCCAGAGACTGGGCAAGAGGTGGCTGTGATCTGAGCCCCCTCCACACTCCCAGGTATAATCTAGGCACATTTTGTAAGACAGATAGTAGTATCCACCAAACTGTAGTGACCATAGAGAGAAGCTGGAACAAGGCCTTGAGTAAGGGATTCTGCACCCAGCAGGAGACCTTGTTCGTGTGCCCCCTGGGGCGCTTCATTTTCTCTCACTCTCGGTGGGGAAACACAAACACTGATTCTGGCAGCTTGGTATGTGGAATGGATCTGCAGGGTTCTCTGTGACCTCATTCAGTCACTAGACTGTCAAAAGTGGAACACTGGGCTGTGATAGCCCCCTAGGGCTTTCTGTGCCATGTTCCGTTCAGTTCAACCACTCTCTGACCACGATTCCTGCTTCCTTTTATAGACGAGAAAACCAACAACAGCAGAAGTTCACTGCCTGGCTGGCTGATAAGGTAACTCAGGCTGACCCAAGGCACACACCGCGTGAGTCTGTCCCACCTGTCAGTCTTTCTACATCAGAGACACGGCAGTGGTTCTGTGTCAGGTACCCAGGGCTCAGATGAGCATGTACGCATGTTTAGGAGTCAGATACGGTCTTGCTCCTAGCTTTGGTGCCCTGCGAAGGCAGCTAAGGAATTTGGCACTCAGGCCGTCAGTGAAATCTGGTCTCATTCGTCAATCTGTTGTTTTTCTGGAAAGATGGCCCTGGAGTCCTGATAGATTTATTTTCTTTGCTTTCATTCTGCCCAGATATGCCGCGGATATTTATGACCCCGGCACCACCCACACCATCCGTCTTGCTCTTGTTAGGCGTGTGTGTATGAAAGGCCCGTGATTACGTTTGTCGATTGGCCTGCTCCTCTCTAAAACATCAGCCAAAAGCAAGACAATAACATACAGCCACCCCCTACCCTGAGGAGAAGTGGGTAGCTGCAGGGCGTTCTCTTTCTGAACCAGGGCACCCTAAAGCTGCAGCCTCTGCCCATGTCCTGCCAAGTGTGGCTCTTCCAGGCCAAAGCTCATTGGAGTCCTCTAATCTTGCCCGTCAATCACTGGCCTGGCTCCCAGGCCTTCGTGGACACCGTTACTCAGTTCCAGCGGGGATTAGGGGTAATCTCCTGCTTATTTGATAGAACCCAGTTATTCTTTCCATCTGTTAACCCCCCTCCCAACACATACCCCAGGGCAGAGTTCTGCTTTCTCTGTGGGCCAGGTGGCCCTCTCCCCTACACAGCTAGGGATCATCTGAAGGCTACAGGTTGTGGAAAGACAAGATGGGGGAGCTGGACAGCTGTGTTGCTGACTCCCTTGTCTCCCTTGGCCATGGAAGAAGTCGTGTCCTGGAGAGTGTACAGCATGTGTCCAAGTCACTCTGTGACATAGCTCCGTGCGTAAGAGTTGGGGCCAGAACCTGGATCTCCTGCAGCATGGGTACTCCTCAGGACCAAGATTTGGGAAGAACCCCCACACTGCGCCCCGAGTAAGGATTTCACACCATAGTGGGAGCAGACTGTTTGCCGTGCTAGACTTAGGTCTGTGTCTTTCTGCCTTCCTCTTTGGGTCTTTCCAGCGTTCTCCAAGTGGGTCTGCCCTCAAGGGGTAAAACTTTCAAGGGCCTGCTTGGGATGCTGGCAAGATCCAGAAAGATGGGCTTCAAGTCCTGCCATTTCCAGACTGAGGGACCTTGGGGGAGGTCACCGATGCTCTCTGATCCTCAGTGCTCTTGTCAGCACCGTGTAGGGGCCATTAGCGTCCGCTCATCCTGTCACAGCCAAGACTGAGATGGAACGGCAGAAACCTGAGTGCCTTGTGTTTATATTTGCTGAGTGCTTGCCTGTGCCTGCCGGCGAGTTTAGCTTATTTTATATAGACTATTTATTTTAATCCTCATGGCAATTCTATAAGCTGTATAACCTCCCGTTTTGGAAAAAGGGTGCAAAGGATGTTTCACTGAGAAAGCTCACCGAAGCAAGGTAATTGTTGAGGGAAACACCGCAAGAGAGTGACGTCCAACATCTGTCTGTCATCCTAGGCGACCCGCTCTTCGGAAGAGGTTTGTCACACCCTGTTATTTTCCCTTTAAATGCGACCTCTTCTTAACAATCTGTTGGCAAACAGAGGCTTAAGACACAAAGGCTAAAATAGGTAATTATCCTGAGATCTTATCAGTGAGGGGTTGAACAAGGTGAGAGCGTGAAACATGCAATTCCCAGGTATGGCCGCAGGATGGCAGTGTGGACCAACGGTAGCATTCCCAGAGGCTCAGGCCATGGGGCAAGAGCCCTAGAAATAAAGAGGCTGCTGGCAGCCTGGAAGGACGTTGGAGGGATGTTGCCTGGTGTCTTTAGGGAAGTGGGCAGGCATGTGTCTCTTTAGATTCAACTGGTGTTTGTAGAGCTCCCGCTGCAGACCAGGAACCGGGAGGTGTACGATTTGTCGGAAGCTCCGTGTCCACATGGGGAGCTCTCCGAAGTGAGGAAGAAAGTAGAACACTATGCTAGAGCTATAAAAATAAATTAAAATTTGAATTTGCTTTACTAAGATCAAAGGAGACTCTCATGTTTTCCCAGAGCCTCACACCTTCCCCAGATGCTCTCTCAAAGTTATGTGCCCCCAAAGCAAAGGAGACTCAGAGAATTCTGCCTTTAAGAATGTTCTAATGATGGCCAAGATAAAAAACATTGATGACAATTTATGCTGGAGAGGCTGTGGGAAAAGGGAACACGCCTGCATTGCTGGTGGGAGTGCAAGTTGGTACAGCCCCTTTGGATACCAGTGTGGTGATTTCTCAGAAAATTAGGAAACAACCTTCCTCAAGACCCAGTAATACTGCTTTTGGGTATATATCCAAAGGATGCTCAAGCATGCCACAAGGACATGTACCCAGCTGTGTTCATAACAGCTTTGTTTGTCATAGCCAGAACCTGGAAACAACCTAAATGCCCCTTGATGGAAGAATGGATAAGAAAAATATGGTACATTTACACAATGGAGTACTACACAGCAGAAAAAAATAATGACATCCTGAAATTTGCAGGCAAATGGATGGAGCTAGAAAACATCATTTTGAGTGAGGTAACCAAGACCCAGAAAGACAGTTATCACATGTACTCACTCATAAATGGTTTTTAAACATAGAGCAAAGAAAATCAGCCTACAAACCACAACCCAGAGAACCTAGACAATGAGGACCCTAAGAGAGACTTACATAGATCTAATCTGTATGGGAAGTAGAAAAAGACAAGATCTCCTGAGTAAATTGAGAGCATGGGGACCTTGGGAGAGGGTTGAAGGGGAGGGGAGCAGAGAAAAATGTAGAGCTCAATAAAAATCAATAAAAAAAATTCAGAAGGAACCTGGCAAAATCAAAATTTAAATCAGGTTGACCGAGGTATGGAAACACACACCTGTAATCCCAGTACCTGCTAGTCAGAGGCAGAGAGATGCCTGAAAGTCCACGGCCAGGCTGTTCTACATAGTGCCAACCATGGCTGTGTATTAAGCCCTTGTCTCAAAAAAATTTAAATAGGAATAGGAAGATTTGATTAACTCCTAGCAGAATGTCCTAATGACCAGCACCATCCCTTGCTAAGCATATCCTATCATTCCCAGTCAGCTCCTCTCACCTGGGCCAGACTTGACGCAGTTCAACTGGGAAGGGGTCTCTCTTCCCCCCAGTGCTGCTGGTTTGCGCTCCTCAAATCCACATCCCTCCTGCTCGCCTCTCTCCTGACCGTAACCTGTCGTGCATTTGCCATGTTCTATAGAATGTGTCCATTTACACAACGGCCTGAATGTGTCCGTTTACACAACTGGACTGAAATGTCCCCGAGGTCAGAGTCCTTTGCTTATCACTTGTACCTTGTCAGGCAAGCAGGGCAACCCCTAGGCACCTGTTCAGTTTAACTGAGTTATTGGAGAGGAAATGGACACATGGTGTCTTTAGCAGTTACTACCTGATTCAGGCCTAGCGGCGACCCTGCACCTGACATCATAGACTTTATTTTAAAATGAGGCGGTGATAGATGCACAGATCCATGACAGACAGAGCTGAAGGTCTCAGTGGCTTTAACACACCCGCAGGAGCAGGATAGCCTTCTCCCATTTCGGTACTGTATCATCTAGAACACACCTGCCTGAGGCTGCTCTTTGGTTGGCTCTGGCTGCCATGGCAAAATCCCACAAACTGGTAGGTGGTGCAACAGGCATTTATTTCTCCTCATTCTAGAGGCTGAGAAGTTGAAGATCAAGAGGCTATCAGACTTGGTTTCTGGTGAGAGCCCTCTTCCTACCTTTCATGTACCCACAAATGTAAGCTATATTATGTCCTATTCTGAAGAAAGTACCCTAATGCAGTGGGCACTAGAACATTCTTCTCTCTCTCTCCTTTTCTCTCCCTCATAGGCTTCCTGTTCTCATGACCTCATCTAAACCTGTGCCACCCAATGGTCACAGTTCCCAGCGCTATCACATGGGGTGTATCAGTGTGTGTGTGGTGTGTTGACAAACGTGTAGTCAATAACAACTTCCACTTCCATGGTGTGTTTTCAGTCAGACTGCACAGATCCAGAGTAATTTCTTTTACAATTGAATCACCCACAGTAGCCTTGTCAGTCTGGTGTAAAGGCAGAGGGGACTGAGAAAAGAAGCATGTCCATCGGAGGGTGCTAGCAAACACCACCACAACCTCACAGTCTGCACACATGGTTGTGGGTATAAACATGTACCAATCATGCTCCAACATGAGTATACATAGTAAATGTCCTACACAGGAACACAGACCCTGTACAACATCCCGCGTTTAAAAGGAGACACAGTGAAGTAACCATACTAGAAAACAGAGAAGCCTGCCATGCTTGAGGACTTTCCCTCACACCGTGTAGCGAAGTGTGATGCTTAGGACGGGGGAGGGGGAGGACATCGGAGCAGAACCCCCCCAGAACAGCAGGCAAGGCATCCGTGACAAGGCAGGGATGGCAATGTCCTTGTTGTTTCTAAGGAATAGAGAGTTCTGGAGACGGCGGTTCCCGGGAGGTTCACAGAGTGCGTGAGACATTAACCTAGTCAGGTTTAGGTCTCCTCTTTTCCCAAGGAATTTGCATTTACTGAGGTCCAGCCCTGAGGCTCCATGTAGGTCTCTGCTGTGATGGTTCCACATGGCGCCAAGGAGCTTATGTTACGGTGTTACGACATTATGGAGACTGGAGGTGCCTGATCTTTGCTGGAATTAAACTATTTGAATCAATTGTAACAATAAATGAGCCTTAATGGAAAAGAATAGGAAAAAGTAAAACCGCATTGGCTTGAAGCCTTCAGATGCTGCACCGCCCCTTCCCTGGGAAGCTTCAGTGAGTATCTGGGACACAAAGTTATCCTTCCTCCAGGGCCTTTGGAACTCTGCTCTTGAGATCATGGACTCCCTTGGAGCTCTTCCTTCTGCACCAGCAATTTC